GGGCGCCGGACACTCGCCCCGCGCGAGCTCGGGGTTCAACGTCGTTCCCCTCTCCAAACTCCGCGGGGCACCCGGGCCCTCGGTGTGGTCAGTGAATGAACGAACGAACGAACGAACGCGCGTGCAAAGGCTAGAGAAAAGGTGGCCTTGGGGGATCGCGCGGCGCGCATAGTGGACAAGATGGGCACACGAAGGGCCCAGCCGTCTGCTTTTGAGTAGCTTCCGTCTTCCAGGGCCCCTGTAGGCCGTCCGAGGCCGCAGATCTTTCCCGGAACAGAAGGCCTCTTGCATCTCCCCGAAACGGCTGGCCGATTGGCCCTGCTGTCCTCTTGGTCAGCGGCCCGACTTGTAAAATGACCAGGGCCCGAGGGGTCCTCGGGCGCGAGGGCCGTGAGGTGCCCAGGTCCACGTTGGGGAAAGGCCGGGGAGACACAATGGCAGGCGGTGTGAGGTCCGCACAGGCCAGGGCTGACGGTGAGGACAGCAGGGCGGCAGCGGGGAGAAGGAGAGCGGTTTGTGGAGGATGAAACCATGGGACCCGGCTCAGCGGGGAAGGAGGACAGGGCGGGCCACTCACTGGGCTTGAGCGCTGCCATCCCAGGAATGCTGTTGTGAGGTCCTGGGAGAGGCCTCTTTGTTGCGGAGAGGAGATCCTGGTGAGGGTGAGGGCCAGGAGTGCTGCATGTCCAGGCACCAGAGCAGGCGCCCTGAGAAGGAATGTGGGTTGAGAAGTCGGAGCAGGGAAGAGAAGCCGGGAGACGCTCCTGTTTCAGACGTGAGTGGAGGAAGAAGCTCCAAGAGAGGAGGTTGAGTGGCCAGAGACAGGAGGAAGACCAGCAGAGCTGTGTGTTCTGGCATCTCAGAAAGTGAGCGTCCTTCGGAGGGAGTGCTCCAGCAGGCTGCCTGCATGCCTGTGGGAGAAAATGGAATGATTTAGCGCGGAGTCAGCTGCCCCCAAAGAAGAAGGTCCTGGACAAGATGGATGGACACAGTGGCCCAACCATGGGATCAGGCGTAGGAACGATTGTGAGGAGGCCCAGGACCATGCAGTGTTCTGTTGCGCGTAGGGTCGCTCTGGGTCGGAACCGACTTGACGGCAGGTGTCAACAACAGCAGCTGCCCAAGGTGGGTTTCTGTGAGGCTGAGGTCAGGCACGCTTCCACCTGAGACGTCCCTCTGTGCAGTACTCCAGTACCAGCTGCCCCTGCCATGGCACTCGTCCTGTGGCTGGGCTCTTATTGCAGCGGCCACGCAGAACTCAACAGACGATGCTCACAAGGTATGCGGTTTATTAGGGAAGCTAACAGGTGAGACGTGCTCAGGATACAGTTGGTCAGCCAGGACAATGTCTTTTTTGGTCAGGCCTGCCTGTGGGAAACAGATTTCTCCCAAGTTGTCTCCCTCACATATGCCAAACTTAGCTGTTTGCTACACGTGGTAGATGACTATACACTTGGAGGTCAACAGAAGTAGGTCAGGGGTTATTCTCCCTAAGGGTTATCAGCCATCCAGAGCAAGCAGACACCACCGTTCATCCCACAACAAGGAGGGCCCACTCCCTTCTGAAAAGGATAGTAGTAGATTGTTTCCCTGAAGGAGAGCCCAGGGAGGTCAAGCCCACGCAAGGGTGACCCATCATGAGTCTGGGGTCCGCCCTTCTTGTCACATATATACCTCTAGTTCCTCCCCTTCCTATCATGTGTACACCCCTAGCTAATTCCCTTCCTGCCACGCTTATGTCTATTGTACATCCCCTTCCTATGATGTGTATGCCTATTATACAGCCCCTTCCTGTGACGTGTGGTTATCTGTAATCACGCCTCCCCTTCTTTCTCCTGCGGAGAGGCTGCTGGTTTCGAACGGATAACCATGCCGTCACTGGTCCAGACACGATCTTGCTTCCGTCGACCTTCGCTGACCCACAGCTCCACACATTCTGCGCGCTCATTGCGGGAGGTTAGAAACGGGCTCACGCATCTGGAGCGCGTTAGCCGCTCACGGACCCCACTGAGAAATCTCCACTCGGGGTGGGGAGGGGGGTGGGGAGGGGGCGTCCTGTGGGCTCACGACAGGCTGCAGGAGGAAGGGGCGGGGCATCTTCAGACGCGCGCGGGACTTGGGAGGACGTCGACCGAGGGACGAGGCGGCCCGGTGCGGTGTGCAGGCGGAAGGCG